CAATCAAACATCAGGCTTGTTGCATTTAACTTTTACGACAAAATAAATTGTCATGCTAAATTTTTGACACTGACTGTGAACTGTGAAATAAAATATCAAGCACAGAGGATGCATGTCGAATCATTTTTATTCCTCTTGTGTTTTTTTTTTTTTTCCATTTTCAGGATGAAAGCTTAAGTGGCTCATTGTACCTCGCAGTGCGACGCTGAAACCTATTAACTGTCATCTTTTTATTTTTTCGGTTAATGTGTCTTAAAGCCCGGCATTTGCATGCCGTTTAAGTCGGTGTGTGCGGAGAGCCACGATTGTTATTAGTGATAATTTCTCTTTAATTGAATTGGGGTCTGCATGCACGACTGATACTGCCGATGACACACACTTTCACACAATACCGTCCTCGTTCTCCTCTCCCGCCCGGCAGCTGGGCCTCGTTGGGAATATCTAATTGAAAATAGAATCAGCCAGTGCTCAGCATGAGAAACTAATCACTCCAAACTTATCAGGAGACTGGCCAGACTGCTATTCTGGCCTTTCATTTCAAAATCAAAGAAATCTGAGATGTTCTTTACAAGCAAAAATAAAAAGCTGCTTATAAATATCTCTGCGTGGAAATCTATTTCCAATTCTAAAGGTTACATCTAGTTTATTTTTGTAATTGTAGGTGCCAATGTGCATGTAAGAAAAACACAAATTCATTTTTTTAATTGATGCATGCTATGCTATTCTGTAGTCATTTATTAAAGCAATTAAAACATTTATTAATTTGTGGTTTGATGTCATTTCTTTTGATATAATCAAGACTTAAAAAAATAAAACATAATTGACAAAATGTGAAATAAAGCCGTAAATATTAACACCAAATAAAACGTGACAATTCAGTCATCAGATTACACAATTAAAAATTTTAGCAGCCACATTATGGTCATTATGTTTTATATTTATCATTCCTGCATGCATGTACCCTTTTTTGTGCATATTTACAAGTTTTTTTATTTTATTTTTATGCAAATGTAAAAAAATCTTTACTATGAATTCTTGCATTCATTGGTATTATTATATTCATGCATGGTTTTTCAATTCTAAAATATATAAAAAAATATATATTTAAGTCCACATGATTCATTATCATTCATTTTAACTGTAAACATGAGCAAACGTGTGTTGATTAAAGAACCTGACAGCAAACAGCTACAGCGCCCCACGCCGACACAGAATCCTGGGATACATCCACCTAAACCTGAACACACTCCTTGTGTTAGTAGCAAGAGAAGTGCTGCAGGTTTTCTCTCTCCCTCTCTCTCTCCCCCTCTCTTCCTTTTTTCATATGGAAATGTGAAATAATAGGGTGATTAAATAGAGCTGTATATTAAAGTACAGCTGACATTAGAATTAGCATAATGTGCTCTCGCCTCGGGCTGCATCCTTTATTTGCCATCTGCGTCGGACTCCAATCCCCTCGGGAGTGCAGGCGCTGAACACTTCTCAATAAACTCACGCCCGAGTCCCTTCAGCACGGCCACAAATACCATTTCAGGCAGCGGCCATTGATTCGTCTTAATTGTGGGGCAGAAATGAACATTCGGCCCCCTGATGACTTCTGTTTGTCTGCGAGAGGATCAGCTAGTACAGTAGCCTATGTTTTACGCCCCGGTAGTTAGCATAGAGAAAGGTTCTCTCGCAAACACACACACACCGAGGAAAAGGACGGTGCCTGGTAAACACAGACGCTACTTGTTTTCTAGGCCTCCTTTATATGGAGCATTAGTCTTAAAGCATCTGCCATAAAACAACGAGAGGAGGTTGGAGGATTGTGTGTGTGTGTATGTGTTTTATGCATGTATGCATATATGTGGGCCTTGAGAGGCTGGGGGGGAAAAGATGGCCATTGTGCTGGGTCTTACGCTCTGTCCACTGTAATTAAGTCAAAGGCTTTACAGGACAAGGGTAGAGGTAAACAGATGTTCTTATGAATGCACATCAGCCACATAAGAACATTCAGTGGGGAATTTAGCTGTTTTCTCCAGTGAATCTTTTAATATGCACTTAAGTGCTTGAATGTTTATCTTTTGAAGCTTTTTTAACATTTAAAAGGGCATTGATTAAACATTTCTTTGTTTGCATCACATGTATCAGCTCACTCATGCTCTTTGACAGCAGTTTGAGCTTTCACTTTGGGTTTTCAAATAGTTTTTCTGAAAATTTTAACAATATTAATAATAATAATAATAATAATAATAATAATAATAATAATGAAATCAACTTTAAATTAGTATTTATCTAATTAAATTTCTACATTTATTCTGAAGTAATTCAAATGCAGTGTATTAATACTAATTTTGATTTATTACAAATATGCACATTTTTAGAAATATTACAGATTTTATTTGGTATCCTTTTGACCAAACACATTTTAGAAGAACCTAATACTATTTATGACTATTTGTATTTATTGATGTGATTGTATTTATTCATATATAATTTCATTTAATATTTTATTTATTCATTCAGTTGAAATGGAATAGCATTTTCAGTAAAAAAAAAAAAAAAAAGATATTGTCACTTTTGTTTAAAGAAACATTTTGATAAGATCAGGAAAATTCTAGATGAATTTGTTAATGTAAAATCAATTTTTTTGAGTTATAAAAGATTGGGCTGGGCTGGGCCGATAAACGATATTGTATCGAATCGCGCTAAAATTTATGTCAATAACAAGGATAAGCTCTGGACTTTTTACTCTAAATTGATCTAAAAGCCAATCACACTGCAGAAATGTGCAACAATGGGAATCTAAAAGTATGTTGAAATTAGAGATATATCTGCCGAAAATATGTTATGCCATTTAATGGAGACTCTAATTTTTGTGGTTTCAGTCATTGTTGGGATACTTGTTTAGAAGTCGAAGTATTAACAACTTATATTGAAATGTATATCATTATCGTTCAATATGGAAAATAATTATTAAGACTGCATTTTTGCCATATCGCCAAGCCCTAATTAATGGGGTCACTGGGGTCTTAGACCCCAAACAGGACTTCCACTAATGGTTATGGTATTTTTCTGTGCACAGAAGGATGCTTTGATATCTGAAGCAGAATAAAATGTTGTTAACGTGCCACCTTTAAAAAATTCATATGTGCATAGCACTACTCATTTTTTACTAATTTACATTTTTTGTGTGCTTACTATTTAAATTCCTTGATGAAATAACGCATCGCAGTATACCAATAAGATGAAGCTTCAGGCTATTGGTGTATATAATCCCTTGTCTCTGTTTCTTTCAGATGAAAACACACTCCCCTGTTTAGCATTGCTCCTCGGCAGCATGTAAAGGAATGCTAGAACAGATACTAACCATTCATTCTCTCTGCTCTTTTTGATCCTTCACAATGGCCATGATTGAAATAGACACCCATGAGGGCTTCCTAGTCCCAGCTCCTCCAAGCCCTGTGTGTGACTGCCGCCCCATTGTTCTCTCCGCAGTCGCTCGCTCTTGCACACATACATATACATGAAAACACTCATAAAGGTACACAAAGCACAGCCAGAAATCAAATACCCAAACAATTACAGCAGCATATGTTTTCCTGCGTATACTAAATTGCTGCATTAGGTCAGAACAGCAAGCTTTCATTTAATAAATAAATGAAACTCATTTCCTAGTGCACAATTACCATTTCCACTTTGTAGATTTTTTTTTTTTTACACCAGTGCCCCAGGAGTACGGCAGAGATGGTTTAGAATCTTTTTTCATTGTATACTCAGTACACTTGGCTTGTTTGTGCTGCCATGGTAATGAGTCCCTTTTGCGTGGCAGAACCGATGTAACGGTGAAGTTGTAGCATCAATTAGTCATGTGTAGTTAAAGCTCCAGAGCTGCACCAGCGCAGGAGCCAATTTTTAACACATCCTCTGATCCGGGAACTGATACTGTTCACACTTTACCTGAACCCAGAGTGTATACAGACTTCCCACATTCAGTTGCTGCTATTTAATTATATGATTGGGACTGTGGAAAATGGACTAAAGTTGTTATCATAGAAATTCACAATAAATTCGGGAGTGAGCCATTTCTTTCTTTGTTATCAAACTTGCTCTCCGAAAAGCAAAGATTCGCTGTGATGTCATTAGTGGAGAGGGGGCTTTCCAGGAAGTGTAACTATAGAATAAGATAAAAACGTGAGAGGAAGTAAGAAAAACAATCTTGAGAAATTCTTAATGGAACAGTAAATAATACCCTTGAGCTGTTTTAAATGCCACAGACTTTAACATTCAGACTGGTGTGCTTTTTTTCCCCACCGCCTCTTAAATCACAGGCAGTGTTTTCACTCTTTATTTGAAACCATTTATCTTGATGTGCGCTCCCTTCCCCCTCCCCCTTCCCCAACCCAGACCCTCTTCTCTCATTTTTTTATTCCTTTCTTTGAGGGGACAACTTAAGTTTATTAGTCTGATGCTGATGAGGGTTCCCTATATCACAGTTTAAGTTGTACTTTTCCAATTTGGTAGCATATTACTCTGGCATCCTAGGACAGTCTTGGAGCTTGGAGAGTTTCCCAGTTTAGAGTGTTCTTGCTTGGCGTTATGCTTCTAAAATGAATCAGCCGTTTGTAAAAGCAAAGATTAAAGACAAGCTAAAATTGGGAATGCGATGTTCCCACAGCACCAACCCTTCAAGGAGCAGAATGGAAATGCACTTGTCACATTTCTGTTAAGTATGAGTTGCTCTGTTCATGTGGCAGTATGATGGGTGCATGACAATACTCATTGCCCAAAGTACAAGGCAAATTTCGGGAAGTGTCAGAAACCTCAAAGAATGCTCTTTGTAACATGTAATCATTTGTGACCCTTTGTCTTATTTTCCATCAAGGAAGATCTGATTTTCAATGTAGTACTTAATAGGATTAAACTTTTTTGCATTATGAAACAAGTGTTGTGGAAATTACCTGCAGAGGTTGTAAATTGAGAAATAAAAAGTATTTTTTTTTCTTCTTTGGTTGCAGGTAGAGATGAACCCTCAAGTTACATATGCACAACGTGCAAACAACCCTTTACCAACGCCTGGTTCCTTCTGCAGCATGCTCAGAATACACATGGGATCCGCATCTACCTAGAGACCAACTCATCGAATACCTCCCTAACACCACGGATCACTATTCCTCCCCCAATTGGTGCTGAATCTATACCACAGTCCCCGTTAACCAACTTTTTGGGGGACAACAACCCCTTCCACCTACTACGGATGACTGGGCCTCTACTGCGAGAGCCCCCACCAGGCTTTGTGGAAAACCGTATCCCCAATACGCCTCCCTTTGTCAGCCCCCCTCCACGCCATCATTTAGATCCCCATCGCCTGGAACGCCTTAGCGCAGAGGAAATGGGTTTAATCTCCCAGCATCCCAGTGCCTTCGAAAGAGTGATGCGCATGACACCCATGGCCATGGAGTCCCAGTCCATGGATTTCTCCCGCCGATTGAGAGAGCTTGCTGGAAACAACAATTCCACTCCACCATTGTCACCGAGCCGTGCTAACCCTATGCATCGCCTTCTCAATCCCAACCCCTTTCAGCCCAGCCCGAAATCACCCTTTCTGAGCACCCCTCCACTGCCTCCCATGCCCCCTAACAGCACCACCCCGCCACAGACACAGGGCAAGTCGAAATCTTGCGAGTTCTGTGGCAAGACCTTCAAGTTTCAGAGTAATCTGGTTGTTCATCGGCGAAGCCACACAGGCGAGAAACCTTACAAGTGCCAATTGTGTGACCACGCTTGTTCTCAAGCGAGCAAATTAAAACGCCACATGAAGACCCACATGCACAAATCTGGTTCCATGACAGGGCGCTCTGACGATGGCCTGTCCACCACCAGCTCACCTGAGCCAGGCACTAGTGACGTCACTGGGGAGGGTATAAAAAATCGGGATGGTGATTTCAAAGGCGAGGGCATGCTCCAAGACAATGAAGAGGAGGAGGAAGAGGAAGAGGAGGAGGAGTTGGAAAATGAAAGCAGGCCTGAGTCAAACTTCAGCATGGACTCTGAGTTCTGTCGGAATAGGGAAAATGGCTCAAAGCCTCCTTCAGATGAGAAGACCCTTTCGTTAGGAAAGATGGTGGAAAATGTAGGGCTCAGCTCCATCCAGCAGTACAATAACTTAATAGTTGACAATCGGAAAAGGCTTCCATTCTCTAAAAGGATCTCGGAAGTGCAGAGGGAAGTGGGTGATGACGATTCAGTAGTGGGGGAAATGGACCAAGTAGAGCGGGCAACTGTGAATGGAAGGAACTGTGGCTCAGGCGACTCTTTCTCAGGCCTGTTTCCCCGCAAACCCACTCCCATAACCAGCCCCAGCCTCTCCAACTCCTCTAACAAGAGGATCAAAATTGAAAAGGATTTGGACATACCCCCAGCCCCCCTAATCCCATCTGAAAATGTCTACTCCCAGTGGCTGGTGGGCTATGCAGCATCCCGCCACTTCATCAAAGATCCTTTCCTTGGCTTCACCGACTCCAGACAATCTCCATTCGCCACCTCCTCGGAACACTCCTCCGAGAACGGAAGCTTGCGATTCTCTACGCCGCCAGGGGACCTGCTGGACGGGGGCCTCTCCGGCCGCAGTGGTACTGCTAGCGGAGGCAGCACCCCGCACCTGGGTGGGGGGCCAGGACCAGGCCGGCCTAGCTCGAAAGAGAGCCGGAGGAGTGACACCTGTGAGTACTGTGGGAAGGTGTTCAAGAACTGTAGCAATCTGACAGTGCACAGACGCAGCCACACAGGCGAGAGGCCCTACAAGTGTGAGCTTTGTAACTACGCCTGCGCCCAGAGCAGCAAGCTCACCCGCCACATGAAGACACACGGCCAGCTCGGTAAGGAAGTGTACCGCTGTGACATTTGCCAAATGCCCTTCAGCGTCTACAGCACGCTTGAGAAACACATGAAAAAGTGGCATGGGGAACATTTGATGACGAATGAGGTCAAAATTGAACAAGCAGAGAGAAGCTAAGCCAGATTTCCTATTTTGCCTCACAATTCCTTGATTATAAAAGGGGTAGCTGGATACTCTGTTTTTTGTTTAGTTCGGTTGTTGTTTTTTGGTTGCTTGTTTGTTTGTTTTCAAGTTAATGGTTTGAGTTAGTTTTGTCCTAAGAAACTGCCATCTGAGAATGATAAAGACATTAAAGAAGTGGAAAATGCAAAAAAATAAAAATAAAAAAAGAGAGAGAGAGAGGGCGGGGGGTTAATTTGGAGACGGTATAAACCGCATATCTATGAATGGATACATTACACAATATTTTAAATGGAGCCTTTAACTGTGCAATAATTTCTGTATTTATTGGATTTTAAATATTTTGGCATGTGCAGGTTAATTTTTATTTCATAATTTTTTTATTCCATAATCTTATGATTTATTTCAAATGCTGAGATTTTTCTTTTTAAATCTAAAAGACATCCTGAGAGATTTTTTTTCTTTGTTTTTTAGCAAAACAGAGTATCGTTGAGGCCGCTGCTTACATTGTAGATTATTTAAGCTACACATGTAATTTCTTGAAGAGAAGCCGCATTCAATCTTCAAATTTTGAAAGCTGAATTGAGAAAGCTATTAGTCTTTATTTTTCTTTTTTGCTTATTATTCATACTTGCAAAATGAGCGGACAACAATCCTTAGACCTTGTAGCACGAACTGATCTGAAGCATGTCAATCTAATTGGGAATGTAGCACTGAATATCAGTTCTGACAGTAAATCTAAAGAGGACTGTGGGGCTGAAAACCTCTGTCTACTCGAAATCAAGGAGAGGAGACTTTAAACCAGACTAAAGCGAAGGCAGCTGCTTATTGGTACCCAGTACCGGCCCAAACAACGCTAGTCATAGGTCTCAGTAGTGAGTTTTTAAATCGCCAGCACCCTTTCCACAGACACTGCACTTAATCAAACCCATTTGATTTCGCTGAACAGCACAATAGTGATAGAAGGAAGACGGCTTTAAAACAACTCAGGGTGAGCTGTATAGCTACTTCTGCCAAGTCTGCTATCTGATCTCAGCCGTCTTCTCTGATAAAGCAGTCCAGTCCTCTGGTTGAGCTCATTCACAACCCTCGCCTCGTCTCCACACTTCATATTACACTGCCAACCACCCTTAAACGTCATAAATCAACTCCATCCCTCACATAAAAGTGGCTTATCATACTACATCGCTGTTAAGTTAAAGTGACAGACATCTAGGCCAGAGGATGAAGCAGTTTTACACTAGGAGAGTGATTTACACACACACACACAAGCAGGAAGAGAAAGAGAGAGAAGGGTCTTTACAGTCCAATTCGGGTTAGTAAACCTAAAAGCACATTAGTCAAGGCAGCACCACTGTTCTGTTTCCATTGACTGACATTTTTGTAATATTTTGTGTTCAGTTCTGTTGTTTCATTTATGGGTCTGCGGTTCCTGAGGGAGTCACCACTTTAACCAGATTAGATTAGAACTGATCCAATTATAATTCATTCTCTTACAATGTTTTTTAGAATCACTTGAAACAGCCCTATGCATTTTTGTACATATATAAATATATATTTATCAATCATTTTGAGAAGCAAATTTATACTGCACAGTAAAATCTGATTCTAGTGTATGATATTGACTTGTCTGGTTAATCTGGTCATGTCCCGTGTGTCAGAGCCATCAGCAGGTATGCAGATTAGTCAATTGCACAGTAAAAGAGTGTATGTCATGACCTGTTGAGCGTGTGCTAAAACAGTAAGACAATTTTTTTCTTTCTTTCCTCTCATTCAGGACTTCCTGTGATGTGTAGTTGAACGCATTCTCAGAAGTAGCAACACGCTTACAGAATGCACAGCTGAATTTTCCCTTTTCTTTTCTCTTCTATCCAACTGATTTATTGGCAGTTAAACAGCCTTCTTTCGACAAGATGCCCTAACCAGCGCAAACGATTGAAGCGAGGGAATATCGTGGTTTCTTTCTTTTTTTAAATAAAGCAAAAGAGCAAAGCAAACTAATGAAATAGAAAGAAAGAGAGAGGAAGAAAAGTAAACATACACAGCTCTTCGCAGTTGACCCGCACTTTATTATTTGTTGATTTACATATTTGAAAACAATGGCGAAAACGGCTTCTGAGCAAGAAATTATGTTCAAAAATGGATTTATTGGGCCTTGCTAGAGGGAGCATCTGAGATTGAAGTGCCAGCGTTGATAGGCTTGGCTTTCGCAATGCTGGCACTATAAAAATGAAATTAATTTATTTGGACAGTTTTTGTACTGCCATTCAATTTGACATGAGTGTGCCTTGAATACTGATCTTCCTATTTATTGTCTTGTAAGACAAATGCAACACTTTTGTGAAGCAAAGAATTGAAAAATTAAGTCCATGTGGTTTTAATCTGCTTCTAAAAGAGCAAGGATAAAAACAGATCTGTAGGTCATTTCAGTTGAACTAAGATGAAAAGTAGCCAGCACAATACTAATGTGTGTCTATGTGTGTATATATGTATGCATATGTACATATAAGTGCACAAAAAACACACACAATAGACAAATAAATAAATATATATATATAAATAAATATATATGTACAATTTTTCACTTCAGGACAAGACTGCATCCCTTGAAAATAATGGATGATTTTTTTTGTTACAAATAATAGTCAAGGAAGAGACTGGACAAAAATCAGGAACTACAGAAACTTTGAAAAAAAAGAAGAAAAAAAGTAAAACGTTTAGTGCACTCTGTCTTAAAATACGTTTACAGTATTGAAACAAGTACAAGGGTAAAATGATATTTCTGTGTATGTGTGTGTTTTAAACAAGAATTTTTTGGTTTTCATTTTTTTCAAGTTTGCTTATAAGGTTTCTCTGAATGCCATAGTGGCGTGTGTATATTGGTTTTTGGTGATGGGATTTTATATATATATATATATATATATATATTTGAGACATTTCTCTTGTTTACTGTAAAAGTATACCAGTATTTGTAATATTGGAGAATGCCTGGGCATTTTACATAAAAGAAAAAAAGAAAAAAAAAATCAAAGAAAAGTCAAAATATTTTTCCCCAATTATCATTTCTTTCCATCTTTTCCTTTTTTTTCAAACAAGAAAAAAAGTTTCATTTTTACAGTCCAATTTAAATTGTGGGTCTTTAAAATGTTTTGTCACTGTAACTGTAAAAGTCTTTGAGTTTTAGTAACTTTTCTGCCTTGGATGTGAGTAAATAAAGATTTAATTGAATAAAAAGAGAACTGTAACGGGGCCAGCGACTTTTATCTATGGAAAGATGATCACAGGACAAATACTGAGGTTCCCGTCATGTGTATCTTTCTGCTATCTTCTTCAGTGATGGATTTTCTAAATGGCTGGAATGAAATACATGTGTAGGCACTATGATGTGTTTATGTGTGTGTGTGTATATATATAAATATATACTGTATATGTACACACATTTGGCAGGATACAATTGTGAAAAATTGAAATTAAAAATGTACAGATGAGTTTAAGAGGTTGTCTGACCTTTTACTGTAGCTACATATACAACAGTAAATGTTTTGTTTACTCTTATCTTGGTTGTAAATAATTTTATATGCTTGCCCGAACTTTTTGTTTTCCTTCTCTCTCTCTCTCTCTCTCTCTTTCTTGAACTGTTTCTTTCTTTTTTTTTTCTTTTGAACTTGTGTGTTCTGACTAGCACTGGGGGCATAATACCTGATTTCTGGGACCTGGAGATTTCAGGTCTTTTAGCATGAGAAGAATAGAGCACAAATACAAGATGTTTTTACTTGTCCAAGTCATTACTGTGTCATCAATTTTCTGATCAGGAAGTAAAGAAAAAGGTCTGGAAATTTTTTGAAGGTCTTTCTCTCTCAGTCTCCCTCTCTTTGCACAAACACACACACACACACCCACAGGAAACAGGCTCGCTCATAATATGTCTAAAATAATCGACACATGGGACTTTCAAATGTGTAGGTAACAGGATAACTGAGCCAAACCTCGCTGTATATGATCTTCTCTTTGGTTGTGCACAATTCACATCAAAGCTTTTTGCCTCCAACCAAAGGCTACAATTAAAGTCATCAAGAGCTACTAAAACTGACCACACTCATGCAGACGCAAATCAGACAACCTGAGCCACCGTGTACACTTCTGAACCCTTTTCCAGAATGTATTAACCTCTGGTATCTGCATCTCAAAATAGATGTGGCACTCTGTAGAAGTCAGAGAGCTCTGTACGACTTTTTGTCCACTCTATTATACAGAACGCTCATCTCAAACTGACTATTATGTTCACTTGTGTTTTGCTAGTTGTTTTTGAAAGCCGCCCTTCTCTGTATATTTAAGTCTTTTTTTTTTTTCTCTCTCTCCCGTATTTCTTCCAAGCATTAGATGCCCCTTGTTTGGACTGAGGCAACTTTGGTATGCAGGTCTTGAATAAAAAAAACAAGAATTTTTTACCACTGTTTACTCTTTATTTCACATTTCACGATTGCATATAATCTTTATATTAAATGCTGAGAATAAATAAAACCATATGTGGCTGGGGACATAAGGAGGGGAATCCTTTGCGATTTCACAATAGACTTTTGTTTAATCTCATTTAAAAAAAAAAAAAAACAATAACACTACTCTCGTCTAATACATTTGATGAAGAACTAATTAATTTGAAGAAATAGTAGTCAATATAGTTCTCTGCATTATTATTATCTGCTCTATCCTTTTATTTGATTGTAATAGTCATTTGTAGTGCTCTTTAAAAGCTAATTCTTCACTACAAAAATGTGTTTTCCATGCAATTTATTAATGTTGCCCCAACACAAATTGTAAGTTAACTTAATAGTTTCTACAAATTTAAGAGCATTGAACATAAAGCAATTAAGTTGTGCCATAAATTGAAGTTTAACAGGTAGCAAAAAAACTTTATGCAAAGATACTCAATAGTTTAAATAAAACTACTACATAAAAGCATAGCATACATGCAAAATACCTCAAAGCAATGTAAACTATATGAATATGAAATTATATGAATAATTTCAGCCTTGACTGTATATATAAATAAATATATAAACCTATATAAACCATGGTTTTTACTATAATACCGTGGTTAAACTATATTCCTGCTGAAAAAAATAGCTGGTTGGCTAGTTTTAGGGGGGTTTTGGCCATTTTCGGCCTGGTCTTAGCTGGTCGGGCTGGAAGCCCAGTCAAAACCAGCTATGTCCAGCTTAAACAAGGCTGGTCACGCTGGTTTTTGCTGGTTTTAGCTAGGCATTTTCCAGCCTGACCAGATAAGACCAGACTGGAAATGACTTGAAACCAGCCTGGAAATGGCCAAAACCCCCTTTTTTCAGCAGGGAGTGTAGCAAAACCAGAGTTAAACTGTAGTTACCACGTTGGTAAAACTGTTTTTACATGTTTCATTTTAAGGAAAGGTTCTTTGAGGAACCAAAATGGTTCTTCCATGGCACTGGTTCTTTTTAAAAAGCTCATTTGAAACGTTCTTTCAAGGCTAACGTTTACTATTAACAAATAGGCCCCTGACACGACGCTATAACTGAGCGTAATTGACTTCCAGCCGTGTTCGCATTTTGTGGGAAATCTTAAGGTAACGCAAGACTTTTTAGCACACATAAACAAATTAGTTTGCTTCTAAAACGTCTCGCAATGTGTTTTTAGTTGCAAACCGTTTTCAAAGGTGAGCGTTTAGTCAGACTGAAAAAAAGAAACAAATAGATGCTATGGTAACTACCTCACGCGCTGCTCTATCATTATGAGGCCATTTTGTTGAGAGTGACGAAGCTCCATGAGTCGCGGGGATACGGAGCTCCTCGCGGGACCTGTCGAGGGTGGCTAAGCTGACTGATGGCTGGCTCTGCAGGTGCCCCATCCGTCGCGGCCCTGGGCGGTGAATTAGCGCTCATCCCGACTGCTGTAGCGTCATTAAGCCGCCTCGTATCCAACTCTCCGCGGCGTTAAATACCCCGACGTAATGCTCTCCCTCGGCCAGCCATCGAAACCTCCAGGCATTCCGGAGGAGTTTAAACTTCACTGGGATAAAAAAGAAGGCTGGATTACCTCTGTGTAAGATTAAAACATGGGGGGAAAGTACTTTTAGTGCTGTCCAAATAAAACACTGGCGCACAGCTTTTCTGAGTTAGCTAACGTTAATGGTGCTGCTGAGGTGTTATATTTAGCATATACTGTGCTTAAACGCCAAACATTAGACTGTAAGACCCCGCGAAATACCTAAAGAAATTCACATAAATCAAGCAGGACCTCGAAAACTATAAAAAGCATAGGCACATAATGATGTGTGATGCGCTGCCTATACATTTTTTGTTTTGATTTAATTGTTACTTTTTCCCCCATTAAAAAACTCCAAAATAGAATCCAAGGCCACAATTAGCTCTGCCAAGGCAGGACAGAGATGGACCAGAGCAAGTTTTGATTTGGCATCAGTTTTAAGGCAGCGGGTAATTAAGTCTGTCCCTGCCTGGCCTGCTCTTTGAAGTCTCCTGTAGGGGGGATTATTCCCACTGAAAGAAAAGAAGAGATGGAGAGAGAAAAAAATACAGAGGGAATGAGAGATTGAAGAAAAGGACTAGTGAGAGATACTGTGAAGAAGTAGGATTCTCTGTACGTGTTCTTGGAAATTTTCAAAATTACAGTTAGCCCTGTTGGGTCAAAAATGTCCAGTTTTAAAGTCTGCATCAGATTAAATTTACATAGGTGAGTAAATATGCACATAACTGATGTTACAGGCAAGTTGTTTACTTACATTTTCAAATAATTTGTTGAATAATGTAAAACTATGGGTGAAATAAAGCTCACCATAACAGATATTTAAAAATGAAGCTAATAAGTTGTACTGATTAAAAGACGAGCTGCAGGGTGGCGCAGTGGGTAGCATGTTCGCCTGTGTGGAGTTTGCATGTTCTTCCCGTGTTGATGTGGGATTTACCTGGGTGCTCCGGTTTTCCCCACAAGTCCAAAAACATGTGGTCTTGGTGAATTGGGTAAGCTAAATTGTCGGTAGTGTATGAGTGTAAAGGAGTGTGTATGGATGTTTCCCAGTGATGGATTGCAGGTGGACGGGCATCCGCTGTGTAAAACATGTGCTAGATAAATTGGTGGTTCAATCCGCTGCTGTGACCTCAGATTAATAAAGCGACTAAGCTGAAAAGAACTTGAAGGAATAAATAATTAAAAGACTAAACATTAAGTAATCATGCTGATTTTTCAGATGTTTTACATTCTCTTGCTAATAAATATGTAAAACCTACAAACAATAATGTAATACAGCCTATTAGTAGCCTAATTTTGGAACTTAATGTGATCTTTTAAAAAGGTAGTTTACCAAAAAATAATATCTTACTATTTATTCACCCTCAAGTGGTTCCAAAGCTTTTTGAGTTTCTTTCATCCATTAACCACAAAATAAGATATTTTGAAAAAGACAGAATTCGCTAATCATTGATTGATTCATTCATTTTCCTTCGGCTCAGTCCCTTTTTTCATCAGGGGTTGCCGCAGCGTCATGAACTGTCAACTTATCCAGCATATGTTTTACACAGAGGATGTCCTTCCGGCTGCAACCCTGTATTTAGTAACATCCATACACATTCATTCACACACATACACTATGGCCAATTTAGTTTATTCAATTCACTTATATCGCATGTCTTTGGACTGTGGGAGAAACTGGAGCACTCAGAGTTAACCCACAATAACACGGGGAGAACATGCACATAAAAATGGCAACTGACCCAGCTGGGTCTCAAGCCAGCAACCTTCTTGCTGTAAGGCAACAGTGCTAACCACTGAGGCACCATGTTGCCCCATTCGGTAACCATTGACTTCCATATATTAAAAAAAACAAATATAGAAGTCAATAGTTACCTGTTTTCGGTTTTCTTCAAGATATCTTCTTTTTTTGTTGAAAAGAGTGAAGAAACTCATAAAGCTTTGGAACAAGTAAAGACTAAAGTAAATGATGACAGCATTTTCAGCTTTGGGTGAACTACAGTATCCCTTAAACTGTATTTTGATGTGTCATCACATGATTGTTGTTATAAGCTGATGTTATAAATAATGTTGCTGTATGCTATTTTTAATTCATAATTTTAAAAAAGTCATTATTAAATCAGCTAAATAAATAGGACACATCTATATTTACAGTTAAAGTCAGAATAGTTAGCCCGCCTGAATTATCACCTCCGGTTAATTTTTTCCCCATTTTCTGTTTAACAGAGAGAAGATTTTTTTCAACACATTTCTAAACATGGTAGTTTTAATAACTCCTTTAATAACGGATTCATTTTATCTTTGCCATAATAACAGTAAATAATATTTACTAGATATTTTTAAAGACACTTTTATACAGCTTAAAGTGACATTTAAAGGCTTAACTTGGTTAATTAGGCAGGTTAGGGTAATTAGGAAAGTTATTGTATAACGATGGCTTGTTTTGTAGACTATCGAAAAAAAAATTAGCTTAAAGGGGTTAATGATTTTGACCTTAAAATGGCTTAAAAAAACTAAAAACTACTTTTATTTTAGCTGAAATTTTAACAAATAAGACATTTTCCAGGAGAAATCTATCTATCTATATAAGACAGACAGACAGACAGACAGACAGAAAGATAGATAGATAGATAGATAGATAGATAGATAGATAGATAGATAGATAGATAGATAGATAGATAGATAGATAGATAGATAGATAGATAGATAGATAGATAGATAGATAGATAGGTTAGGGCTGCACAAAATATAATTTTAGTATAATTTTAGTATCACAATATGTGTATCCGCAATAGTCACATCACAGGGTTACAATATTATAGTTGAACAGGAACCACAGCTCATACCGTAAATGATTTATTGAGTCATTCCAAATTTGAACCATACATTTATGAATTAGTTTAACATCTGCATGTGTTTTTAGGGCATGTGACTATCTAATCATTTCAAACCATTTTAATAAATTTATGATGAAGATACACTATACAGTGTTATTTTTACATTTGATTATTCAGTTTGTACCTGAAGGCGATGCGGTGGCGCAGTAGGTAGTGCTGTTGCCTCACAGCAGGAAGGTCGCTGATTCGAGCCTCGGCTGGGTCAGTTAGCATTTCTGTGTGGAGTTTGCATGTTCTCCCTGCGTTCACGTGTTTTTTGTTTTGTTTTTTTAGGGTTAGGGTAGTGTTAGGCTCTGTTGTATTAATTAATGTGTTTGATTGATTTATTATATTATATTTGATGCACATTCAGTCTCTTGCAAAGAGTTTTATAAATTCTTTCCAAATAGAGCTATTCGTGTCATCTGCTGAAATTATACTAAATACCCCAATATGTATATACTGAATACCACAATAATAAGTCAGTTTTTCCAATATTGTGCAGCTCTAATCACTTAAAAAATCACTTTAAAATAATCAATTTAAAATCTTTTAAA